ACAGCGTTCCATAATCATGCAGAATCCACGCGTGAAATGGCTGCTACTTTACAGCGCCTTGAGTCACGAGCACTGTCCCTGGAAGAACAGGAGCACCTCCAGGTCTTGCGGCCCCATGACAATTCTCAAGATCTGTCATACGAAAGCGCAAAAGAACGCACCGAGAACAGAGTTCCAGGAACATGCAACTGGCTTCTTGAGGAGGAGAAATATCAAGACTGGCTGCGGAAGGCTCATGGGCTATTGATGGTTTCAGCAGACCCCGGCTGCGGCAAGTCTGTTCTGGCCAAGCACCTCATCGACGAGCGACTTCTTGAAGACGCCTACGAGGCAACAATTTGCTACTTCTTTTTCAAGGAGGACGATCAGGACAGACTCCCTCTGGCACTGTGTGCTCTACTGCATCAGCTGCTAAGTCGGAAGCCCAGTTTAATAAAGAGGCACCTGGCGCACGAGCACGCGAAGAATGGCAATAGCCTACAGAACAACACAACTGTGCTCTGGAGTATCTTGGAGGCTAGCCTCAGAGATTCGGATACAGGTCCAGTTATTATTGTTCTGGACGGACTGGACGAATGCCGACAGGCAGACTTTCAAGTACTGGCTAGGAGCGTCAACCACCTACTCGCCGCTAAGAAACATTCTCACGCCACCACTCGATGGCTCTTCACCACCCGTCCATATCAGAACATCACAAACACGATTGTGGCACCTTGTATCCGCGTGTTTGGTGAAGAGAAGTCGACCACCATTCGGCAAGAAGTCAAGATGGTGATTCAGTACAAGGTCCGCGATCCCAAACTTCAGAGAATCATACCCAAAACACTGCTCTCGCGACTTGAGGAGAGGCTCCTCAGTGTCGAGAACCCAACATATCTTTGGGCTGCATTGACGTTCAGCTTTGTCGAGACTAGTCACTTCAAAAAGACTATCAAGGGCTTGGAAGATGCGATTGAGAATCTACCGCGCAGCATCAATGACGCCTACTCAAAGATCCTGAGTCGAACTGATGAAAGCTTACAGCCAATCATACGAAAAGCCTTCACCATTATCTTGGGAGCAGCAGCTCCTTTGACGATAGCAGAGATGAATGTTGCTATGAACCTGGACGAAGGCGTCAACAACCTTGACGATTTGGACATGGAGGACGAACAAGCGTTCAAGAGAAGCTTGAGGGAGATAAGTGGGCTTTTTATCATCACACACAACGATCGTGTCTATTTTCTACACCAGACGGTGCGGGAGTTCTTCCAATGTTCGGATACCAAAATGCCGACGGCCAACCTTTCCACGCAGTGGCAACACTCATTCAGTCCCAAATTGTCCAATAGCTTCATGGCACGCATTTGTCTTCGGTATAATTGGCTATATAATAACGATCCACATCTCCCTAGCTATGAGATTAACGGATATCATGTCTCGAAACATTTGGTATGCCAAACTGTCTATAAGATGACTGGCTACAGAGTGGGGGACACAATTCAAGACGTTGATGACTGGATAGAAAAGACACCCTCACATGGCTTTCCATCGCTATGCAATCACCAACACAACAAAACACTTGGAAGGAAACTTTGGCGAGGACGACTTGGATCTCATCGTCAAACTTCTGACATGCAAAAGTAAAGGCTGGCCAAGTTCCGCATTCCAAGATGAGCTACCTTCTACCCTACCTACATATGACTTTGCTCTTTTGCTGGCAACGCGATCGCAGTTGGTAGGGGTTGTGCGTCTCCTAGTCACTCAGCCGCAGGTCAACATCGAATGCTGCAATGGGCACGGCCGCACGGCGCTCTGTTTGGCTGGAACAGCTCGCATGCGACGGTTACTGCTCAAGAGTGGTGCAAATCCTCACCCCCCTACGGGCAACGTGATCGCACTGCCGATATGGTATGCTGTTCGACGCGGCAAATTTGGCTACTTGGACTATCTACTTTCAAAGGCGAAAAGTCCGGCTGCGAAGCACGACATGTTGAAGATCGTGCTCGAAACGGCGCTCTCGGATTACCCACGACAGCGCGGCATGGCATTGGGCTCAATACATTGGGGCGCCGACGTCAACGCTCTCAATAATCATGGGTCGACGCTCCTTCATCACTATGCGACCAGAGGGGATGTGGAGTGTGTCAAGTTCTTGTTGGATCTAGGTGCCGATGCCACAGTATCGAGCCGCAACGGACAGACGCCGCTCGAATCAGTTGTGCACAGGTTGGAGGAGGAAAAGGATTGTTTTATCGAAGATGAACTCAGGGAAATCAAGACCTTGCTTGAATTTGAAAAAGTGGCGGAAATGAGCGAGGAGTACCGGCAGCTGTTACAAGGGGACATGATTCACGAGGGTGACTCTGAATTCGAACAGATTGATGGTCCTGACTCAGACGAAGATGATCTTTTCAAATGAAGAGAGTTTCTCGGACAAGCATGGATGAGCAAAGACAGGCATTTCCTTGTCTTCAGTGCTGGTGGCTTCGCCTTCATCCTCACTATTCGCGTCACTTTTTAATTCTCCGCGGCGACTAGCTTTAGCCTTGAACAGGTTCAATACTGATAAATTCCGCAATACAGGCATATGGCTAGCTAGTACGTCAAATTCACCATTACGGTCTTGGGCTCCGTGAACATGCGAAGTGCGTTGATCGCGTTCTCACGACCAGAGCCGCTCTCCTTGCTGCCACCAAAAGGCGCCGTCAGGAAGCAAAGACTGACACAATTGATGCCGACCATGCCGCTGTCGATATCAGACGCCACGCGCATCGCCTTGTTAATGTCCTGCGTGAAGACGCCAGCCATCAGTCCAAAGTTGGTATCGTTTGCCTTGGCCACAATCTCTTCTTCCGTCTCGAAACGGTTGAGTATGGCGACAGGCCCAAAGATCTCCTCGCGACAAAGCTCGGCGTCTTGTGCAACATTCTCGAACACAGTCGGCTGTACGTAGTAACCCTTCTCACCAACACGGCCGCCTCCGACGAGCAGCGTCCCCTGACCCTGCTGCCCGCGCTCGATGAAGCCTCGAACACGGTCGAACTGTGCCTGATCAACCAGTGGGCCAATGATAGTTCCCTCTTCATTGGGATCTCCGACACCGCGAGCCTTCTCCTCCATGGCCGCCTTGTACGCCGCGGCGAACTTGTCGTAGATGCCCGCCTGTACGTACACTCGGCTTGCCGCAAAGCAGACCTGTCCCGTGTTGGCCGTGATAGCGTTCGCGCACCACGACACGGCGTTGTCGAGGTTGCAGTCGTCGAAGACTACGGCAGGGCTTTTCCCGCCGAGCTCGAGCGTGACGCGCTTGAGGTTGCTCTTGGCAGCCATCTCCTGGATCTTGCGGCCCGTTGAGGTAGACCCCGTGAAACTGACCTTGCGTACGCGCATGTGGCTCGCTAGGAGGGCGCCCGTACTGCCGTCGCCAGAAATAACTTGGAAGACGCCAGGCGGAAAGCCAGCTTCTTTGATGAGGGTTCCCAGGGCTAGGGCGGCGAACGGGGTCTTCTCGGAAGGCTTGAGGATGAAGCAGTTGCCTGTTGCCAGGGCCGGGCCCGCCTTCATGCCGACGTTGCCCAAGGGGCCGTTCCAGGGGATGATGCCGCAGGTGACGCCGAGCGGCTCGTTGCGTACAATCTTCATGAAGCCGTCTTCCTGGGGATACGTCTCACCGGGGAACTTGTCTGTCCAGCCAGCAAAGTAACGGAAACCTTCGCATGCGAGATTAATTTCAAAAGAACCGAAAGACCCAAAGGGAGCTCCGAGGGTCAGGCGCGTCAGCTCAGCCAGGGCAAGCCCGTTCTGGTTGAGGAGGTCTGCGAACTTGTTCATGATGTCTCGGCGTGTGTTAGGGGGTGTCTTCTTCCAAATTGGGAACGCGGCTTCGGCAGCTGCCACTGCCGCATCGACGTCTGCCTCGCCAGCGAGAGCAACATCATCTGCGACTGCGGAACCGTCTATAGGGTTGTGCAGTGACAGCTTCTTGTTGTTCTTTGACTCGACATACTTCGAGAAGTTAGAAATCGCCTGCAAAAAAGAGGATGTGATATACCTCGTTGTTGATGAAGAGCTTCTTGGGAAGATTCCCTTTGCTCCAATCGAAGGAGGATGGGAGGTTCTTAGAAGCCTCTTTCAGACCAGGTCCTAATGAAGTCATGATGTGATCACTGCCGGCTTTAGGTACAAAGATGAGAAGAAAGATTCAAATGAACACGACCAGGACGGCTTGGTATCGGATGCTCGCAGAACAGACGTAGGTTATTAATTAATTAATGGTGTCGGCGAAGTTCAAGCAGCAGGTTTTCTTAACTCCGGAGTTGACTTGTAACGGCCAACACTTGATCTGCTCCAAGCTGCTTAGATATACCAACCCAAGCGATCCCCTCTCGTCGAAACGGGCCACCTGCTTGACTTCCGAGCACAGGATGCATGCCAAATGGCGGAGGTTATTGATTTCCACTCGAGTCAGGGACTTGGAGAAAGTTGGGGGCGATGACTCGTCCGGCTCCTCCCCCGCAATGCTATGAGTACAGCCCCTGGGCAACACGAACAATGCCGCCCACACAGCCAGCGACCCCGCTGCAGGTCGTTCTGCTGCGTGACCAACTGACTCTTACCTAGGTAATGTGGGTATGTATCGATGGATGAATGGCGGGGTCCTCGACGGACCCGAGCTCGAGAGGGAGTAGAGATCCGGCGAGACGCCACCACACGCTTGATGCCTCTCGAAAGCTTCCGGATTGGTTGGGTAACCTCTAGCGAGTGCTAGTGACCCTGTGTTCTGGGTGATGCGATGTCACAGGTCCATATCTGGGGTATAGGAATAGATACAAACGGACTTGCAAAGCAAACATCTTACCACGTCTTTGGATGAGAGCTTCCGGACTTTGGGCCCTCCAAATATCTGTTAATGTAAATTTGAGAACAGAAATCATTGCCGGGGATTTTGGTCTCTGCCCGATAACAAGAATTCAAATAGAATTCCCCGTGAAGGTTAAACCAAGTTTGATCTTGTATTTCTCTATTGACTCGGACTGTTGGATCACACGCAGGCACGTCAGCCGGCACACTTTCATCTCACAGCCATGTCATCTATTCCCAAAACCATGAAGGCCGGTCAATGGGACCCGGTACGCCACGCACATTCCATGTCGGTTCTCATTCACTAACATGACCCAGCACCAAAAGAAGGTCGTCATCAACCAGATTCCTGTCCCCGAACCCGGCCCCGACGAATTCCTTGTCAAGATACGCTCCGCCTCTCTCTGCCATAGCGACCTCCTCGCCATCCGTGACGCCCAGGACACCGTGACGCTCGGCCACGAAGGCGTCGGCCACATTGTGCAGTTCCACGCGTCCGCTGAGAACCAGGGTTTCGCACTCGGCGACGCCGTGGGCTTTCTCTACATCCGCGGCTGCTGCTTCACATGCGCCGGCTGTCAGGTGCACAACCTCCACTGCGAGACGGGCAAGCAGCTCCTGCAGGGATTCGTCGCTGACGGCTTCTTCGCCGAGTACGCCCTCGTCGACCGGCGCAACGCCGTCGTGCTGGACGAGGCGAAGTGGGATATGGACGCCGCGAGCGCCGTCTTCTGCGCCGGCATCACGGCGTTCCACTCTGTCGACAGCTGCGCCCTGCAGCCGGGCGACTGGTTCGGCGTGGTCGGTTGCGGCGGCCTCGGGCAGCTGGCGACGCAGTACGCGAAAGCCATGGGGCTGCGTGTTGTGGGTATTGACGTTGCCGATGCGAACCTCGAGGAGACGAAGAGGCAGGGCGCCGAGGCCGTCTTCAACTCGCGGTCAAACGCAGATTGGGCGCAAGACGTCAAGACGCTGACGGGGGGAGGTGTTCGTGCTGTTGCCGTGTACACGAATGCGGCTCCGGCGTTTGCGTCTGCGCCAACGTGCCTGGCGCTCGGGGGCACACTGATGATTATTGGAGTGTCGAAGGAGCCGCTGCAGGTCAATGTCATGGATCTACTGCTGGGTAACTATCAGATCAAAGCTGACAGCACCTCTATTCCACAGAGGATGGGCAAGGCTGTCAAGTTCACGGAGGAGCATGGCATCATGCCGGTGGTAGAGATCCGAAAGGGGCTTGAGGAGCTGCCTGCGATGGTGCAGGACATGGAGGAGGGCAAGGTGACGAAGCGACAAGGTATCACATTCAAATGAATGCATCCGAGCGGAGCGAACTTGGTGTATTTTTCAATCAATATTCTTCCAGCCAAGATGCATACATGCAGTCACCTGAAATTTGGGTATCATTGTGAAAGTGTTCGATGAATGGTGTGGCTAGTACATGATGCCCGACCCGCTTTGCACACGACGGACTGTGGTTGTTGAAACTGTGTGTTCACGCATGACAGACTATTCTGATGGGTAAAGCCCTTGCAGAGCTGCAGTCACCACATCTGGATTCAAAGACGGGACATCCTCCCTGCCGACAATCTGGCACCGCCATCCACCGCCACCTCGACGCCGTTTCTGAAAGTCGTCAGCAAGCTGCGCATGGTTCAAAATTCTGTAGGGTACTCACACATATTTGCCAGCCGGAGAGCAGAGAAACACAGCAACACCGGCTATGTCGTCGGCCTCGCCCAGTCTTCCCAATGGATTATCCTTGCTTAATTCGTCGATGCCGCCCAAATTGCTAATGAGACCTGACGCCAGCTTTGACGGGAAGAAGCCGGGCGCAATGATATTTGAGGTGATGTTGCGTCGTCCCAGCTCGACGGCCAAGTTGCGACCCAAGTGCTAATTTGTCAGTCCCCCACTGTTTAGCGGAGCGTTCGGCATGCACACTACTTACGTTGGCTGCTGCCTTTGAGACGGAATACATGATTGTACCATGCTCGCCGACATGTGGCACGTTGCTCCCAGCTGTTGAGCTTATGGTGAGTACGCGCGCCGGGTCCTCCCGCGAAGCAGCCTGCTGCAGCAAGGGGAGGAATCTGTGGACACTGATCAGCACGGTCTGTGACTCCGGAGACGAAGGCAGCTTACTTTTGCGCTAGCTCAAAGACGCCTCTCACATTGAGATCCAAGATCTTGACGGAGCTGCTCGGCGGCGCATCCTCGAACCTCGAACCCCAGGCGGCACCAGCATTGCACACCAGGATGTTCAGGCCTTTGCTCCCAATAATGCTCTTGACCTCGCCCACAAGGCGCTCGATATCCTTGGTGTCGGCCACGTTCGCCGCAAGGCCAATGGCCTTTCCGCGGATTTGGGGCAGCTTGTTCAGCTTCTCGACTGCTTGCGTGATGCCCTGCTCCCCTTCGAGCTTGCGGGCGGTGATGATGACGTGGGAGCAGCCAGCAAGAAGGAAGGCGGTGGCCATGTGCAGGCCAAGGCCGCGGGAGCCGCCGGTGACGACAGCCGTTCGGCCCTCGAGAGAAAATGCATTGCTGAAGTTCTTGAGCTCAGACATGATGACTTATGGGCGGTGTCGCAATGGACAATGAGGGTGTAACCGAATAGCGAGGCTCAGACAGCTGGGTGTCGAGTGGTTGAGACAGATACGACCAGGCACAGCACCTGGCTGAGTGCCAGAGGGGCACCTACCTTATCTCTATGGGTACCTCGACGCGCACCTCGGCAAAAAAAACAAGAGACAGCACCAACAAGGGCTGCGGGCAATGGGCACTGGCGGCCGGAAACTGGGGAAATATCGGGGTAGCTCCCCACTTCCTGGGATCCACCACGACCAGCAGTTACCCCGCAAGACCCCGGCAGCTCCTGCCGAGGGTCGATACGGTCATTTCTGAGAAGGAGCTGGGATCAGTTGCCGCGAGGCCACTTTATCACATCATGATCTCGATTGAAGATGCTTGCTGCTTGGATGTTTGGACACGTTCGCATCTTGGCCTCCATGATTGTATTGCGGCCATCTTTCATTACACGTCTCAGCACTCGGTAGATCTCTCGAAAGCGGCAGCTGCCTGTCTCATCGCAACACAGCAGTCATGGTTTTCACATCACCCTTTCCGTCACTTGACCTACCCAAGACAAATCTCCTCACATATCTCTTTCCCGAAGACCAACTCCCACAAGAAGACCCCCTGTGGCTTGACTGCAAAGATGACAGGATCAACCTGTCTCCCAAAGAGCTCGTCGAATGGGTCAAGCGGCTGTCGTTCGGACTTGAGAGGATCGGCGTCAAGCGCGGTGACGTGGTCCTGATTTGCACACCCAACCAAATCTTCGTTCCCGTCGCCTACCTAGGAATCGTCGGTGCCGGCTGCATCTTCAGTGGCGCAACCAGCTTATACGGTCTCTGAGCTCGTCACCAGCTCAATAACACGACAGCCAAAGTCGTTCTCGCCACCAGAACACCTCGATCACGTCCTCGCAGCCGCCAAAAGGCCAATCTGCCTAAGAACCGCATCTTCCAGTTTTCCGACACAGAAAGCGGCCACCCGTCATGGCATTCCCGACTGGCGTGCCCTTCTCGGCACCCCCTCCGAAGTCGAGACGTACCGCTGGCCCGATCTCACACCGTCCGAGTCTGAAACAACCGTCGCCACAATCAACTACAGCTCCGGTACGACCGGCCTCCCAAAGGGCGTCTGCGTCTCCCACCATAATCTCATCGCCAATGTTGAGCAGACAATCGTCATGCGCTACGCCCATAAGCCGTACCCCTTTGCCTCGCGCCCCGCCGAGCGCTGGATCGGCTTCCTCCCCCTCTACCACGCCTACGGCCAGCTCTACACCATTCTCATGGCCATTCGGCTGCGCGTGCCCGTCTACGTGATGCGCGAGTTCCGCTACGAGGACTTCCTCGCCGCCATTGGCCGCTATCGCATCACGAGCCTGCAGGTGGCGCCGCCCATCCTTGTCATGCTGTCGAAGCGCCGCGAGACGGCGCGCTACGATCTCAGCAGCGTCCGCGACGTGCTCTGCGGTGCGGCGCCACTGTCGCGCGAGCTGCAGAACGAGTGCCAGCGCCGCTTTGGCGTCCAGATCAACCAGGGCTGGGGTATGACGGAGGTGACCTGCGGGGCGCTGCACGTGCCGGGCGGTATCCGTGACGACACGGGGAGCGTCGGCCAACTTGACCCCAACTGCGAGATGCGGCTCGTCGACGACGACGGGCGCGAGGTCGGTGTTGGGCTGCCTGGGGAGATGGTCGTTCGAGGGCCCAACGTCTGTCTAGGCTACTGGCGGAACGAGGCCGCGACGAAGGAGTGTATCGACAGCGAGGGCTGGCTGAAGACGGGGGACATTGCCGTCTGCGACAAGAAAGGGTTCTTCTGGATCGTCGACCGAAAGAAGGTATGCTGCTGTCCTTTTTTGTTCTTCATCTTCCTGTCAGACTCTTCTGTCAAAAGCAACTTCTTCCAAGCAACGAAGCTGACGAAAACAGGAGCTCATCAAGGTCAATGCGCTGCAGGTAGCGCCAGCTGAGCTGGAGGCCGTTCTTCTCGAGAACGAGCATATTGCAGATGCGGCGGCGGTAGGCATCACGGTGTAGGTATTCCCCAAGGACGAGGTACAAGTGGCGTTGAACTCTGAACTGACGAACCTAGCAACGGGGAGGAGAAGCCGAGAGCCTACGTCGCCATTCAGGAGGATTCAAAGGGCAAGGTCACGCCGGCGGACGTTGCGGAATGGATCACGACGCGCGTGGCCAAGCACAAGCGGTTGACTGGTGGGGTCGTGTTCGTGGAGGAGGTGCCCAAACTGGCAAGCGGCAAGATTCAGCGCAAGACAATGCGCGAGTGGGCCAAGAGGGATGCGACGGCGATTGAGGCCGCCAGCCAACAAGAGAGGGTGAGGCTGTAGATACAAGAGACATTACAAATGGTTGTATACGTAGTTGGCTTAAGGTGCATGGTGGCAAGATTCTGGGAATAAAGCAAAATGTGTTGCCTATGATCACTTCTGTTGCTGAATCCAATTGCTCGAAGTTGACACGTGAACATAAATCACCCTCGAACCACTCTTGAGACCTCATATTTGTATCGATATCGAAAGATGCTTGTTGGCCATCCAAAATTAGGTAGGCACCTCAAGATGAGGTTGATGAACGGTGATGAGTAAAGACGAAGGAGTGGCCCGAATGCCAAGTGAGAGGCCAGCTGCTGGCGGCTGATGGCCTCGAGCACCATCTGGCAAGGGCAAACAGTTCCGAGCCCCACCAACTCCAGAAACGCCCTGCGGTTGAGGTTTCCCGAGCCACAATCAACAAACCAAAGGGGGGTCATGATCAAGCTTCCGACTGTCTTCGTCTCAACACCGCCCGCCAAGGCACCATCTCCTCCTCCCCGCAAACAACCCCAGACTGGCGAAGAGACACCCGTCTCAATGATTCAGCTCCACCCCAGGCTCGGTACCTTGACCCCTCGGCCGACCTCTCGGACGTTTTTCAAGGGAACAGCAAGTAGCCGTCACGCCATGGCGCTTGGAGAAACGGCTGGCCAGCCCTTGACCCTGCACCAGCACGCCTGTCTTGCTTGCCATGTCCACAGCCTACGCCGGGCCACTCCATCCCATGAGACCGGTAGCCCGGCTGGGCGGGCCACGTTCGCTTCGCTAGCTTGGTAGTCTGGACTTCCCCAAGGCTGTCGACTGGGATTCCCATTGAGCCCACCCCCTACCCGGTCCACCGTACAACGAACATGACTGAGTCTATCGTCTGCGACCACAGACGGGCGAGTGAAGACGAGTCATGGAGGCTCCAGACTTCCTTCTGCGGTACATCCTCTATGACTCGGCCGATCCTCAACAGCTGTCCAGTCCCGTGTTTCTCTGAGCTTGCTTCCCTAGATGCATGAAGCTACCGCCCCCAAACCCCGGTCATGCCACACCAAAGACCGACAATCATCGGCTGTCCGTCGCACAGCGCTCCTACGGGAAGTTGGTGTGCCGCACTTCGATATTCGATAGCCGGCCACGCACCTTGAGGAAGCCAACTGACAAGGGCCAGGGCCACAATGTGCATGTCATGACGCCAGCTGCTCGGCATGCCACCTGCGCTTGACTGACCTGTTTCATACCGTCCTGTATGCTGCTATAATACCCTCTATCCTGAAGGTCTTCCTGTATCGCGGTTTCGTGTCCTGCCTTCTCTCCATTATCTGTTCTCTTGATAGTCATCTCTTGATAGTCAAGGGCCATCCTGCCATCCTACGGTCTACTCCATCATACCCAGTGCTTCTGCATTCGACACTCGCGCCCGTTCGTCGACCATTTTCTACTGCAATGGCCGATCTACTGTTACCAGAGACCATGCACGCCGGTGATCGTGATGCATCGAGGAGGCTCGATGGCCCCATCCACTCCGAAAAGCACATCCGAGTCATCTGCGTAGGCGCCGGAGCCTCGGGTCTTCTTGTGGCCTACAAGATGCAGAAACACTTTCAAAATTTCTCGCTTGCCGTATACGAAAAGAACGAAGCGGTATCGGGCACCTGGTGGGAGAACAAGTATCCTGGGTGCGCATCACTTCTTCTAATTTCACCCTGTCGAAACAAAATGACTAACAGAATCAGTTGTGCCTGCGATGTGCCCTCTCACAACTACACATGGAGCTTCGAACCCAAGCTTGACTGGTCCGCTGTATATCCACCAGCGAAAGAGATCTTCGCGTACTTCGAAGGCTTTGCGAGGAAGTACGCCCTCTACCAATACGTCAAGCTCCAGCACCAGGTTGTCGAGTCGTCTTGGAACCACCAGGCCGGCGGGTATGACGTGAAGATCAAGGACCTTGCCACAGGTGCCATCGTCGAGGATCACTGTGATGTTCTCATCAATGCTGGCGGCATCCTCAACAACTGGAAGTGGCCTGCTATCCCTGGCCTCGACAAGTACAAAGGCGTTCTCCTCCATACCGCCAACTGGGATGAATCCGTGAGCCTTGAGGGGAAACACGTCGGCCTTATCGGCAACGGCTCGTCTGGTATCCAGGTCCTGCCTGCCATCCGCGACCAATGCAAAAAGGTCACGACATTCATCCGTGAGCCCACCTGGGTCTCTCCAGTTCAAGGCCTCGAACAGCATCGCTTCTCGGAAGAAGAGAAGCGTGAGTTTGTGGAGAACCCTGCCGCACTGCTTGAATACCGCAAGAACATCGAATCCGGCCTCAACGGTCAATTCGGCATCTTCCTCAAGAACAACCGCATCAACCGCGACACCCACACCTACATGACCCAGCAGATGAAGGAAAAGCTCGGCGACGCCTACCTCGAAGAAAAGCTCATCCCAGACTGGAGCGTCGGGTGCCGTCGTCTGACACCCGGCGTAGACTATCTCGAGTCCCTTACCAAGCCCAACGTGTCGGTTGTCTACGGCGAGATCAAATCCCTCGGCGAGCGTGGCCCCATTGGCGAAGACGGGCGTGAGCACCCCGTAGACATCCTCATCTGTGCCACCGGCTTCGACACGTCGTTCCGTCCCCGCTTCCCCATCATCGCCCCTAGCGGCGAGAACCTCCAGGACAAGTGGTCCGGCACGCCCGAGTCGTACCTCGGCATCGGCGTCGCCGGCTTTCCCAATTACTTTAACATGCTCGGCCCCAACTGCCCCATCGGTAACGGACCCGTCCTCTCGGCCATCGAGGCCCAGGCCGACTGGATGCTCAAGGTCATTGACCGCCTGCAGAGCACAAACGCTGTGCAGATTGCGCCCAAGGAGCAGGCCGTGCGCGACTTTGTCGAGTACAAGGAGTGGTTCATGACCAAGACGGTCTGGTCCGACCCCTGCCGCTCCTGGTACAAGCCCCGCGCCGATGGGCCCGTCGTCGCCCTGTGGCCCGGCTCGACGCTGCACTACATCGAGGCCCTCAAGGAGGTCCGCTTCGATGACCTCGACATTGTTCACGCCGGCAACAGGTTTGCCTGGCTCGGTAACGGGTACTCGCAGACCGAGCTGGACAACTCGGCCGACTGGGCCTTCTACATCCGGAACCGGGATGACGACGCCCCGCTCACAACGGGCGGGAGGCGGAAGGTGCTTTCGAAGAGCGGCACGGTCAAGTCGCGCGATATTGTTGTTTTCAGTGGCAAGAGGGACGAGGCGGAGGTGCAGAAGGAGACAGCGCGATTGTAGGGTGGATGGTCCGTAGGCGAGCATTGGTTTTTGGAGTTTGGGTAGCATGTGAGCAGCGGCGCAGCTTTGTGCCTGTGGGAATCATCACCGTACAGAACTTGACATTACCTTTTTTGCTGAATGTTCTGGGTTGCTGACGTGACCTTGTTTCAAGCCGTCGACTGAATAGGGATTGCTGTGGCAAATTATATATACAGACTTTAGAGAGATCACTGTCGTCGCGATTGCACCGCTTCCTGCACTTGCCGTTTTTATGTGGCTCTCGACATTTGAATTGTTTGAATGGCCTATTGTCCGCAAGTAATGGTCTCCATTCACTGGAGGTCGTCAGTGTAGGCGGCTGGGGGAGGGGGATGGCATTGTCTGCCGTTTCTGCTCTTTCCATTCATCCACCTCACAATCACCATCTCAATAGTTTACAACTCCTAGTTGAGTCTTGCGTTCGTTCTCCTTTTTGACCAATTGATGTCAAGGCAGACTTCTGTTCGCTTCTTCTTATAAGGCAAAGACTTTGGGTCAGCTAGGTCCTCCGAAATAGTCTGGCAGCTGTAACACATCTCACATCTTTGCGCAGTACTGAGAGGCACGATTGACTCTGCTCAGAAGCGGAATCAGACGCACACAAGGGATATTGCATCTTATTTCAAACACACCATGACGGGCTCGGACAATCACGATAACGAACGCGACCCCCAGAATGACGGCTACCGCGGAATTCGCAGCTGCAGCACTCATGCAGAGGCCCTTGCAGCCATGGAAGAAGACCTTGACAGTCGCAGAACGGGAGAGAACGCCGAGCTCAAGAGCGAGGTCGCGCTGCTGCTCAGGGACTTCTACGACAAGATCGACAAGTACGCCAAACCGCCGGCTGCTCACCGCGACATTGTCTACGTCCGGTCCATCAAAAAGGCTCTGGAAGCTGCGATCCAGTACAGGGAGGCGGGGGAGGCCTTCTCGCACCGGCTGCCGAGCTCGGCGCAGATGCTCGCTCTGCGGTATACCCACCAGTCTGGGACACTGGAGGAGGACGTGTGCGCCGTGCTCGTTGACTATCAGGTCAAATATGGTGCTCCCGTCCCGTTTCTTGGTTTCGGCTATACCGCGAAGCCTGTTCACGAGCTGCTCCTTGCCACGCCAGTGCAGCCGCCACATGTCATTGGCGAGCACGAGCCTTTGTTAGAACAGCAAGCCACGCCGTTTGAGGACATGAAAGACCGGGTGGAACGTCGCGAAGAGCAGCAGTCTGAGCAGAACGACGTGGCCAGCGTGCAGAGCGAGGCACCACACGCCACGATCCCCGTTCAGGAGACTCGAGCCTCAACTTCGGCGGGCCGGACGCAGAGTTCGACCAGATGGACTTCAACGCCTGGAACCTCCAGCGCACGATGAAGCTGAGACAGGACCTCCAGGGCCTGCGCGAGATGACGGCCGAGACGACGACAGCGCAGCGCGCGGAGATTGACGCGCTCAAGACGGACAGGGAGGAGAATGCGCATCTCTTGTCGATCCTGCTGCGGCAGATGCAGGAATACAGGAGGGACCTGCGGTTGCTGAAGGTGCAGGTTGCGGTGCCGACGCCCCCTCGTAAGCGTGTGTCGTCAACTGATGCTCGAGCAAGAGCTGACTTTGAGTTGCAGATTCACAGCATTCGAAGAAGCGTTCGGTGGATGCCATTTCCCTGGAGGATGAGACACGGAAGAAGGCCAGGACGGAGGAGTATGACGCTCAGTGGTGACATCACACCGCAACGAGGGAGTAAACACACCATGGGTTTGGTGATGGCTTGTTGCTATGGTGCTGTGGCTGCATGAGGTGGCTTCCCGCGGGGGTGAAGCACTGTGTGTTCAAACTCAGTTCCAGGGGACCATGTTACCCCTTGAGGAATTGCTTTTGGGGTTCTGCTTCGAAGGAAGAAGAAAAATAAGCACACTGCAATCGCCATGTTCACTATGCATGCAGTCAGACCCGGATTCTGTGTCACTCCTAGTTGAGGTCTGTTAGCACCACCATGCCGTCTAGGGTCCTCTCATTCTGGCAACAGATGGGGGCAGGTGCAGATTGCCCCACCACGCAGCTACGCAGGCCCCACCCAATCCAGCAATCGATGATTGATTCACGACAAAAGTGTCCAACGCGACATCAGACGCGACCGCTCAAGGGCCAACCATACCTAGCACTTACACAACCAACAATTGCGCTGGATCCCTTAAACTGTCCTAAGAATCTTCGTCTAGATCAATCGATTGCACAGCCGCTTTCGAAATATCACAACTACCGCACAAGCGTACCTCTACCGAGACGTCGTCCCATCGGCTACCAATCATGCTGCCAACCCGGTTACATAGACCGCTACGAGCGTGCTCGACAAACAACTCAGTTGCATTTCGATGCTATGCTACGAGAACCAAGCCAACCAGCAATACCTCTCCCTATGCGAACCTCTCTGCGTGAAAAAGAATGCAACAACACAACACCAACGACGGTCTCCACGCCAGCACCGGCACCGAAACCCAGCTACGCTGAGGTCCTCAACCACGCCATCGAACGCGACAGTCCAGCCTGAGAAGACTACACACACAGCATCTTCAGTGAGGAGCCCAGGACAGAACTTCCCCACAGCCGTGAATCCCAAGCGCGCCGAACCACCACGGGGCCAGAAGCCCGCCCCGAAAACCCGGCCCCCTCTTGATCCGAATAGCAAGGAATACAAGAAGGAATACAATAGCCTCACGAGGAGATGGACAGCTGGGCTGATTGCCATGCCTATTCTTCTCGTGACATCTTACTACCTTTTTGACAGAAGTAAGGGTGCCCGTCTCTTGTTCTGAGAGATCTAGCTAACCACAATGACTAGTCATCCTTGGACACGAGAAGAAGGAACTGCATCGTTTCGATTCTTCCAAGAACCCAGACGAGTCACCTATCAAGTCGTTCTAGGCACAGATTTTCTTTCCTCATCTCTGAATACCCACTACTCTTCCACAGCTCTCCACAAAACCCAGACGGGGTCTTAATCTCATGCGTTGTGATATCACTGATCTGGATTAGCTAGAGCTATCTCCCTGCCTTGGCTCAGGCATATTGACTTGCCGCCGCTGCCAGTGCAGCGTAGGAAATATGGTTCTTTGTTATGATCTATTCCTATGGAGCCACCCTCCGCCTCTTCACCCGAATACGGGCTCCGTCAGATGGAGTCAAGCGGGCCTCGGCCTGCCACTTCTGTTGCGGCCGCCGCCCCCGGTATTCCTCCGGGAACTCGATATCGTAGTTCTGCAGAATATACGTCATGATCATCTTCATCTCGTAATCGACGAGGAAACGGCCGGGACACGCATGCCTACCGTGCCCGAACGGCAAAAAGTGCGCTCCTGTGGACGTGAACCCGAGAGCTCCGCTCTTTGTCGCCTCGCCCTCGCGCGCACGCGAGAAGCGGAACGGATCAAACTTGCCCGCGTCCTCATGCGTCGCCTCGTCAAAGTGCTGCGGTGGCGTCAGCACCGACAGCATGCTCCCCTTCGGCAGCACGACGCCGTCCGGCGTCTCGAGCGAGTCGGCAATGACCATGCGTAGCATGGCGCGGTTACCAAAAGACGTCTTGCGCAACGTCTCGCGCCCGACGCTGTCCGCCTTGACCATCTGGGCGATCTTAGCCTTGGTCCATTTGATATCCTGCCCGTCGCCGAGGACGTTGCGCATCTCGTCCCGCAGCACGGCAATGGTATTGAACTCGGCGTCCGAGTCGATGATTTCGAGCATCATGTTGATCATGGTCATGTTGGTCTGGTGCGTGGTGCCCATGTTCGTGATGGTCATGCGCTTGCTGATTTCGAGAAAACTAAACTCGTGGCTGCGGTGCGCCAGGCCGTAGCGTATGGCCATTTGCAACAGGTCCTCGGGCTCGTCGACGGGCTCTCCTTTCTCGGCAGCCTGAATCATGTCCATGCGCTTATTAAACTCCGGTCGCACTAGGTTGTGGAACTTGCGGAGTGCTGCATTCATCGGCAGGGCGGCAAGAGGCCCGAGGATCGGCTTGAGAAAGACGGGCACCATGCCCATGACGGCGGCCATTGTCAAGAAAAAGTTGGACACGTCAATCGTACTCTGCCGATACTCCTCGTCTCTGCCTGGTGACACATTCTATCAGCCCTGGTACGCGAGACAGGAAGATGAACGCACATAGAGGTAGGCCCATGGTGTATCGGCCAGCAGCCTGCGAAATGATGAGAGGCATAACCTTGTTCAGATCCACCTCGCGCCAGGTTTCCGTGTCTGTGCCAAATTGTTCATCGAACGCGACGCGAAGTTCGTCATTCAGCACAGCCGCAACCTTCTCCAGCACGGCGTTCATGTCGCGCTTCACAATCAGGGCGTTCCAGCTATCAATCAACAGGCGGTCTTCGCCCAGCGTGTACGTGAGCTGATCCAACTCGACGAACGCATGGCTTGAGCTGATGCTGCTGTCCTGGAGAGATAACATCCAGCGCAGAGCACTCGGTGGCAAGATGACCTCGGTGCGGAGGCCGAGCCCGGGAACAAGGACAGTCCTCCCAAACTTGCCATACTACGCAGCTTTCAGCGCTCGTGCTCAACAATGGGGGTTACTCTTGACGCCACGGAGGGGCTCACCTTTTCGTAGGCCTCGCGGAAGAGGGCCTCGCAGTCAATGTAGTAAGCTAATCTGGTTCTCAGGCTGAAGTGGCCGGCGCCGGGCTTTTCTCTGATGCGCGGCACGTTCGAGGGGTATTGAATGCCGAAAGCAATGCTCAACAGGGTTGCGGAAACGAGGATCGCTATGGAGATGAATATCACGGCGGCGATGACGTGCCAAGGCTGCAGCGGTCTCACCAGGGGTGAAAACCGCGCGATGGCTGCTATCATTGGAGATGACGGCTGAAGCAACGATAGGCAGGGACCTCGGGTGCACGCGACGATACCATTGTTCTCTTGATTTTACCGGCCACGAAGCCATTTCGTGAGTGGGCGTCGTCACCAGCTTAGTCAGACGCAGGGATGGAGAGCGTTGTCTCAGTTCTACAGTCTGACAGTGTCAGTGCTCTTTATTGAGTTCGAAGCTATCATCATTGAAGATAGGCGTGCTTCGGTGAGTGCTCGGTAGGGGTCGGTGAGCAGGGAGATACCCCGCTCTTGCCCCTGAATAGAGCATTGCTTCAGTTGGACACTGAGTGATGGCTTTTGCTCGGACGCGTAGGCTTGCTCACGCGTAGAACCCCTTCCTGGCGACATAGTCCGATGGGCGTCTTCGTCATTGTGGTTGAACACCCAAATCGGCGGCTCAGCCGTGGGGGCTCATTTCCTGTGCGACGGCCCCTGACGCTCTGTAACCCCCGGAAGCGACCTACCCCAACCATCAGTAGAGTTCAGGAATGCCCTTGGCGCGTCTAGCTAGAGGCCAGGGACTGCACATGACTGGCTCGCATCCTTCAGGTGTGCTGCAAGTTGTGGTGGCTGCCGCTGCCGAGTGGCGAACGATGGCCACCCAGGTCTGCGCTCTCATCCCCTCTCCCTCCCCCTCTTCTCTGTCCTTCGCTCACCTTGTTTTCTGTGCAGCGGTTGCGGCGTACGTCAACTGTTTTGTGGTGTGCGACGAGTGGTGCCAGAGCACTACAGTCAGACGTACATGTTGGGCTGGTAGGTCAATTGACACTCCCGAACAGCGAGGTGAATGTGAAGACAAAATACATGGAAGTCCGGATCTGGTAGATGGCCAGCACAGTCTGATACCAGATGATGATATCTTCATCGCTCTATGATGCCTTACGATGAATCGGAGTAAGGAGCGGTGCCATCTTCGGTACACTGAATGTGCAGCAAGGCCTATTTACCCTGGTAGGATCGTGCGACTGCTCACTGCTCGGCGACGATACATGAAGCACGATACCGATCAATCGGCCAAACATTGTCATGGGTTTTTCAAGATCGAATGACGTCTAATGAGTTTTGAGTAACCTCAAGAGTGACTTGATTTCGCCTAAGTTCGCCATTCATCCGCACATCAACGTCTCAGGCATGACAGAGGGATGACCAGGGGAGCAGCCTGCTACTCTGGGGTCCAATATGCATACCAGTTGAGCGGTCGTCTCTAAATTCTCTTTCTTAGATTATTTTTGGACAGTTCGACTTTGATGAAGAATAGCATAGAGCTCGACTCTCTGGTCGTCAAGGCTCGTAGCGACTGCATGGCGACTGTCCGAAGCCACGAGGACCCTCGTCGGTAGACTGGCTCTGCCGTTTGAAGCATTAAAAGTTTCTTGTACAAAACATCACAACCATCATCATACATCCAGGTAAACATGGCATTAAAGAAATTGGCTAGAACGGTGAATGCTGAGAGAAATGACTACGATCAGCGCAGGCCGCTTGCATGTCAATCATTACACCCATCAGTTGAAGCGATCATGAATTTAACGAAGTTGTATTCCATCCTCCAAGGTATTGTACGAGTCACCATCTAGGGCACGCTCTAGTATCTAACCTTCTTCCTCTCACCAAGCTGCTTTCATCGTACACATCATGTCTACGCCAGAATTCTCACTGCGTCCAACGAGAGCTTACTTCCTGACATTGTTGAAGCGGTCAATGCCGTTGTTGATCCGCCTCTCCATACCCTTGGCCATCTTCTCGAGCGGCAGGCGCCTCTCCATGGCCTGGACGGTGCGGGCGACGGGGGGCTCGACGCGCTTGATGCCACGCTCGGCCGAGGGGGTGAAGTAGCTGATGTTACGCTCCCAGCGGGGCGCCCACTTGGCGGTCTGCGAAGCCAGACGCTGCTCGGCGCCGGGAATCATGAAGTAGAGGGGAGCCAGGGCGGCAACGGTAGCGGCGCCGTAGCAGAGGGTCTCGGAGCCCTTGGTGACGGGAATACGAGGAGGCATGGTGACTGTGCATGGTGGTCAGAAGGGTGGGATGAGGATGCAGTGGGGAGACGATGAGGCCTTACCTGGTGTGAGGCGGTTGTTTGTGGGTGGTTGTGTGGTTGGACAGCGACGTTACGAGGGTGTAAGTCGACTGCGATAAATGCGGAAGCTGTCGTGAGAGGCAGCTGTGAGAGATCGGTTGATGTTGATGTTGTTCTTTGATGAAGAGGTGACGGTGCTTGATGATGGATGGTGGTACGAAGAAGAGAGGAGGCTCTATGTCAAGAAACGAGAGGTCGAAGGGACACCTTTAAAGGCCATTCGATCAGGGGCAATGCTTCAGCTTCGGGGGGATGTGTGTGTGTCTGTGTCTCGACTCATTCGTCCAGACCGAAGGGCAAAGCGTGCGGGGTAGAAGGCACAGTGACTTTGAAACACCACGGCGAGGCACCGGTGAGTGAGGTACTATCAACATCGCATCATCCCAGACGTCGTCACGCGGGCAAGCCACCAATGCCCTGCTCGAAAGCAACGCGAGAGGAGGGGGTGATCACTGCGCGACCAGGCCCGTTGCGTCGCAGTCGAGGGCGTAGTATTGAGACCGCGCGTTTCTTGGTTGAGGCATGTTATGCAGCTGTGTCGTATTCCCCTCCCAGCGAGCTTCTGGCCGCCACTTCCGTCTTTACAGTGGTATGATGCTTTACTATCGTCTCCTGAGCGACAGGCGATGATGAGGACATGCTCCGGATGATGGCTTCAATTCTCTCATTTTTGACCCATTTCGATCGTTGTTCTGAGGACAGACAGTCAAGCCATGACCCCCTATTCTACCCAAAGCACAGTCGATGCCGATGAAGTCCAGTAGCACAGTAATGCCCAGGGGCTCACTGGCCATGGATCTTCCCCAGGCGTTGCTTTCAGTGGGGGCCCCGCCCGGAACCCACTGGAACCCACTTCCCCAGACAGCTGTGGCGAGGGTGGCTCTGGGGAAACAGGCGCTAATACAGGCGCCGCTGCCCGCAGCCCCGCTTCCCTGCTTGGCCCATTCCAGCTGACCTCAGAGCCTGAGGGCTCAGGCCATAGCCTACGTTGGGTGCCTAGGTACGTAGGTAGCACACCAACAGCATCCTGCGAGCCATTGGTATCGATTGATTCAGTCATCAGAGCTGCTGTAGAAAAGAAGGCGTGTCGCTCACCGACAGCTGGCACATCCAACTTTTGTCGTTCGTCTTCAACGCTCGTGTATGCTGCCTTCGCTCGAATTGAGAGCGTGGGAAGCTGCCTGGCGATGCCCCTGCTCCTCTCGGACGGGGAGGATCCGCGGGCATCACGTCAATCAGGATCAGGCTAGCACCAAAGCGCCAGCAATGCCCGCTCCCAGACAAAACACCTCGAATAGATACAGCTCCCCCACAATGCCCAGCCATGTCCAGCCATTGTGGCCCACAACCCGCCGTGCTGCAACCAGGACGGGAAACGCATCGCATGTGAAGTGGACCGCCGCCACGCTCACGATGGGCCTCGACCGTGTCACTGGGACTCGCAGCCCAAGGCGACAAGGCACAACTTTCTCTGCCTCTCGAGCTCTCGACGTCGCCAGTGGACAACGTTCTCTCTTTCAATTTGAGCCTCGTTTCTGCAACCCGGGTACTGACTATGCTGCACAGTGGAGCCGTAGATAGCTCGACAATCGCCCCGTCAACCACGAGCGGCAAATCAGCCCACGTGCTGCCCCTTCAACGGCACGCAAATCGTCCTGCCGATACGCAGCTTGTCGCAGTCCAAACCATCATTGATGCCCAGCAGCCCCTCGACGCTCGTGCCCTTGTCCTCCGCAATCGCCCAACACGTGTCCCCCTTTGCAATCCGATATTCCGCCTGGCCGATGCCGCAGTCGAGCTTCTCGACGGGCGCCTTGTTCCGATACAGCAGCCAGACGACACCGCAAAGGAACAACCCGATAAGGACGAAGAAGTTGAGCAGCGGCGCCCACGACTGCCGCCACGACTCCTTCTCGTGCTCCCACCGCCGTGGCGTCCCGGGCACGAAGGGTTCGCTCTCAGCGCCCTGTGACCCTTGCGTGAGACGGCCGTATCTGTTTCCCGGGGCGCCCTCCCAGTGGTTGCCTTCGCTGTCGCGGTAGGAGTAGGTCTGCGTGTCGGCATCGTAGCCTGTGCGGGTCACGCCCTCGGGGAGGCGCTCTTCGTCGGTGTCGTACTGGGAGAAGCGGGACATGGCGGACGGGGTGATGGACCTGAAAAGGTGCAAGAGGGGGTTGCCAGTAAGTCTCAAGATAAGAAAGCTAGATACCAGACAGGGTCTGTTTGTGGCTTAGGTACGAGGGAGATATTCAGGCCAACACATTGACGCTCGCCATGCTTATTACTGATCGAGAGCAAGCACAGCAGCACAGCCCCCCGGATCGTTTCAGAGGACGAGTCTTACGTCACCCGCGGTGAATCTGGACATGATGACCCACTAAGTCAGCACGTGACACACTCGAGAAGCTATGGCCACTCGGAGCCAATCCAGCAGACAAATACAAGCTCCTCTAAACCCTCGTGGTCCTTGGGGCCACAGGGCCTTAGTGGAAGCAGAGTGACGGGTTGACAAGGCTGCAGAACGGCCAGAAAGAATTCCACTTGCCTCTCGAAATTTCATTTGGCCGCTTTCGCACCCGCTGCCTCGTTCTGTTTTTTTTTTCTACGTCAGCTTATCATCTCGCTGCCACATCAGACGCGCCAACTTGCTATGCAGAGCGTCGGGCAAGAGTCAGCCCCAGTTTCAGCTCCAACCGACAGATACAAAGCAGGACCACTGCCCATTTTGCTAACAACATGTCAACCAAAACAAGAGCAAAAGCCCACTATGGCTGATAGAGTCACGTACGACTGGAAGCTCACCTCGCGCTCCGTCTCTTTGCCGTTTCGCCTGTTTGGCAAGCGATTCTCGGCTGGGGTTTGGATCCGACGAACAGAGGACAAGGTGGCACCGCCGCAGTCTTCTCTTCTAGATGCCAGTACCAGTGTCTTTATCTTCCGATCCAGACCATCCATCTGACTTGCGTAGGCCCGCGATGCACGCAAATACGAGTACCAGGCCCTCCCGGAGGGACGTTGCATCCGCGTCCTCAAGCTCCATGCTGGGGTCGGGAATGAGCCCCTGTATGGTACTCTCTCCAATTTGGCTCTGACAGACGACGCCGAATACGAAGCACTCTCCTACGTCTGGGGCGCCAATATGAACGCAAACATCATCTTCTGCCAGGATAATCGGATTCTGAGGCTGGGCGAAAACCTAACTGATGCGCTGTACTCGCTGCGACACAAGAAGAAGGACAGAGTCCTCTGGATTGATGCCTTGTGTATCGATCAAGAGAATCTGGAGGAAAAGTCGAGCCAAATTCCGCTGATGGCTGAAATCTATGCCATGGCCAGCTCAGTCATCGTCTGGCTCGGCAGGCCGACGGCGCACTCGCAAACCGGGCTGGATATTCTCGCTTTTCTCGCCGGCAGTGACAAGTTCGACGACAACGCGCCCTGGAACCGCATGGAGATCCAAGACGTGACCGCCGCAATCAGGGACATCATTGACCGGTACTACTTCCAGCGTCTTTGGGTCGTGCAAGAGGCCGCTCTCGCGCGGCGCGTCGGGTTGAACGTCGGACACCTGATGTTCGAGTGGACGGGCGGGTTGGCTACGCGCAGATTCCTGGCACGCATTAAGCTGGCAGAGCTGTCGCCCACCTGGCAAAAGTCGGGTCTGAAGGAGATCGATTTCCGACCTCTGCGCGAGTTGTTGGAGCAAAGTCTCGCCGCCGAGTCGAGGCGCAACGGCCGCCTCGAGCTCCCTTCACTGCTGGATGTTGCGCACTCGATCCGCAACAGGCAGGTTACAGACCATCGCGACCGCATCTACGGTGTTATGAGTCTCGTTACGCCGGCTCAAGTGGCGGGGTTTGTGCCGGATTACTCGAAATCTTGGGAAGAGACATACCTACAATTCTACGACTTGGTTGAGAGACAAGTTTTGGAGGATCCAACAATCACACTACAGGATGTTCTGAAGCATGAACGAGGCGAGTCGGCCTCGGCCTAGGCTTCGAGATCTCGTTCATTACCGCCAGTTCTTGGAAGTGTGCAAACAGCCATCAACGCATGCCCGAGAATGACGAGACAGTTTCAGCATTATCCCGAAACAGCGACCATGTTAGCCTATTCAGCGTTTCTTCAAAATACTACCTAGCCTTACGCAGTTTCAACTATCTCGATGTCCGTAAAGTCGGCCGGGTCCAGAGCTGGCTCGCTCTTCCCGAACGCGTATATACCAAACATGACGCCTGAAAACGCACATCCTACGGGAGGAGCAATTGTCAGAGCTTCTGACGTGCATGACACACTGGTTCTATTGTCTCCTGACGAAAATGACAATGTGTAGTCTTTGGGCTTTGCCTCGATTGACAGATGTATCGGCTTCGAGGTATCGAGCTTCTTGCCAGTGTCCAGCAGGGGATATGTTGTTTTGAGTTCACCGTTCTTGCCTGTCGGCTCCCGAACCACGATTGTTTGGAGCAGGCCACCGCCAATAGGATACGCGACCGCTGCGATGCCGATAGATGCGTGCGAGTATTGGTTCCACCATAGTGTGACGCCTGATTCATATCCCAGCCTGCTTGGCTGGAAAGACATCTTGACGCGGAAAGTCTCGTTGAGAGATGTCTGTTTTCTCAACAAGAGCGCTGGCGATTCAGGACTCGTGAGCTCGTAGCAGTTTCCGTGGAGTCGAAGATATCCAGGACGCTCTGTCAACGAGTGGCACCGCTTAATGGGTGTATCTGTGAAGAGTCAGCTGGTTCAAGGGCCACTTTTCTGCACAGGCGCTCACTCTTGTGGTACCATCCTAGTTCCAGATCAGGCCTCGACAGATCAGCCTTCCACTTGATCCCGCTCTCATCAGCCACCGCCTTCTTCTCGATGGAATCTCTGCCGACAGTCTCCAGAGATACGTTGCGGCCGAGGTTGAAGACAGGCCAATCATCCTCCCAATCGACCCGAACCATGAACGTCTCCCTGCCAAGCTGCGGTTCAAGCCAATTCTCACCATTCTTGACAGGTCGCACACCTAGCAAAACACCCCACCAGTTACCCCTGTCGTCCTCAAATATGTCGGCGTGTCCCGTCCTCTGCACCTCCTCGTCCGGGCCGTTGTACCACAGAGCCTTGCCCTGGCCCTCCCAGGGCCCATAAGGCCCCTGTTCGCTACGCAGCACCCATTCTTGGTGACCTGCTTCCGTGCCGCCCTCTGCTACGAAGAGATAGTAGTACTTGCCCTTCTTCATGATATGCGATCCCTCGGCCACACCGAACTGTGAAGCGCGGATGAGCTGTGGTGGAGTGAGCGTGCGGCCAGACGGCAGATCAATCTCCGAGACATGGATGGCGAAGTCTTTGAGCTTCAAGCCGGGCGTGCGCTGCGCCATGCGAACCGTGGTCGAGAGGTACACCTTACCGTCGTCGTCCCAGAAGAGCTGAGGGTTGCGTTAGTCTGCAGTTTTCTAGATCTTTTTGAAAAAGGAAATGACAGTCACCCACATCTTGGTCGAACCCAGGATTGTCGAAATAAACAGGCTCGGACCACGCGCTATCGTCCCAAATGTTGTCCGTCCAGACATAGAAGCCGCGGGGGAAGATGCGCTCGTCCACGGCAGGGCGATAGCGGTGAAAGACACCGTTGGTGAGGTACCACCGCCTCTCCTGCGGACGGTACCGCAGCGTGCTGGCCCAGGAACCGGCGCCGGGCTCGACAGTGCGCATGTCCATCTGGCTGCGGCGGTTGAGGGCATGGCCGATGAGCTTCCAGTTGATGAGGTCCGTCGACGCGTAGATGGCGGCGCCGGGGAAGAACTCGAACGTCGAGGTCGAGAGAAAGTACGTCGCCGGTGCCGTGTCTGTTGCGGGCACGACGCAGACCGTCGGGTCCGGGTTGAAGCCCGGGATGATCGGGTTCGTGAACGTGGCGGCGCTCTCCGAGGATGTCATGGTTTCGAATGGTCCGACGGGATGGCGCAAAGCGACTGGTGACGGAGTGAAGGTCAATTCTCCGAGCCCACACTACCAAGTCGATGGAGAAATTGATGTCGGTTATGCCGATTTATATCAGCTCAGGGCCGTTTCGTCGCGTTGATCACAGACCGAATCCGTGGGAGGAAGCGGTCTTCCCTTTTAGCCGGAGCTCGTGGTGAGTTATTCCAGCAATCAGACCACGGAGCTTGGCTAGCCGAGTGGAGACCGTTCCCCTCTCCGCGGCCGGCACCCGTGCCGGTGCCAAGACCGCAGGGTCGCAGTGTGGGAAACCACCACGTGGTGTCTCGATGTGGTACTCGTTCGTATTCCGCTGGGAGAATGACATGACTGTATGATCCAGGTACTCGTGTCTGTCTTTGGCAGGCGTCTACGAGGTCCGCCGTCTATGAGGTGGCCTATCGCTATATCTGCGGCCGAAATGCGAGGAACGACGAGCACTCAGGATTACTCCATGCCCGACTAACATGGCATTGATATGGCTCGTACGATTGGTCAGCACTGGTGAGACCCTTTGTTAGAAAAGCTGTGTGTTGGAGAATGGCGTCAAGCGGGTGGCCGTGTGTAAGGAGAACCCTTCGGAGCCACGGCACACGGGGGCTGATTACGGGCTAAGGACTACGAGAACGTGTGTACAAGGTATGCGGAGGGGCCCTCCAAGCTGCAAAGGCCCAGAGTCCAGATTTTTTCCAACCCTCTATCTTGATTCTACGACCTGCGGACCTAGTGCAGAAAGCCTCTTCACTCTGCTCAACCCCACGATTTAATACTTCAATCCGATACCTAACTGGGAACCGCTCTAGAGGGCTGATCAACCGCTAGACAAATTTCGTTGATTGGAGCGCAGGGGGCTCGCCGTTCGACTAGGTCCAGTCTTGATCACATGTTTTACCTGCACCAGCTAGCTCAAACTGTGCAGAAACGTGTGGCCATCGAGACCTTCCAAGTAGCTATCTCCCCGAGAGCGCAAGGGATGAGATAGAGATAATTAGTGGTCTGATAAGTCCCGCTCAATTGGGACCCCGAAGCCTGATCGTGCTATTGATGAATGGACAAAAGGAGATGTTTACGCATGATGATACAAGTTTGATATTCGCTGGTACTGTCAGGTCTAGATTGATCAACGTCATTATGGTGAAAATACGAAGAGGAAACCCGAAGAGGTTCTATAACTGGAAAAGCCGGTGCCCGACGAGAAAGACTGTTGCTGTTGTCTAATTATCATTGACACCTACTTTTGAGCCATTCATGTTACGTTGTTGCGCACCTTTTGTCAGGTATGATACGATTAGCGATAATCATGAACATGCGTTCAGAGTATGACCGAGTGATAATCAGAGGATATGGGTAGCATGGCTCCAAGGGACCGCCACTCGAAATCGGAATGTATGACAAAGCTTTCTTGTGAGGCTCAATAAACTTAAAAACGAGCCTTGGCTACGAGCTCCTCAGAGTTTAACTTAGTGCGTACGACAAAGGTTCTATTTCAAGGAGATATTCGGCAAATAGATAGTGAAAACCCCCAGTTCTATAGGATATTGGTTTGTGTTGAATCTATAAACAGAATACCTCCTCGTATACTTGCCATACTTTCTGTAGTACATGAAATAAGGTAGAGGTACAACTTTACTATGATCTCATGGAAGGTTTGGCTATACCTGTGAGTTTCTCATGACAGACTACACTTCAACCGTGGCATTCGTAACTCTGGTGGATCCAACCCCCGTGTACGCTGTAGTGTCCATCAAAATAGCCTTTGCTCCACCCCTAAAAGCATGACCCAGCTACTGAAAAGACATGCGTGCAGATTCTACAATTTGCTGGATGAGTGCTAACTTGTCGTAAACGTATTTCAGTTCTACCTGGGCCAGCCACTAGGTTCTTTTGTTTGTGCTTATCCCGATTCAGCCCGCTTATATCGTCAATCTGGCATTAGGGCTTACGTCATGGAAATCTAGCTTCTATAATCTTGAAAGAATGGCCTAGCCTCACTGTTGTTTAGATTGCTTGAAATGCTTCTATCATGTGAGTCGGTCAGCAGCAGCTTCATAGTGGTGACATGAAATGCATTGGTAAGAGCTTATCAACGTTTGTTCAACTGAGTTTATGCCGCCCACTTAGGTCGAGTGCACCCGTGGCAGCCCGAATCGAACTAATAGGTGGTCACCGCGTGTAAAACTTACAAAGCCTCAAAGAAGAGGGTGCCTTTCTGGCTTTAAAAGGACTGCCTGGCCTAGTAGCTTGTCAAGCAGGACCCAGCACTCCCCATTGCCAAAGAGCACATCAACGAAATCCCCAAAATGCGGTATCTTTTTCTTGAACTTGTGGTCACATGCCTAATTTTTGTCATCAAGGCCTTGCATATTTTCCAAACTCTTCGCTCCCCGCTTCGAAAAGTACCACGACCATGGTACGCCCCGCTGACAACTCTCCACTTGCGATATATTTTTTCCACAGGAGAAATTTGGAAGCTACTAGAGAAGAGTCATTATAAGTATGGTCCAATCTTTCGTCTGGGGCCTAGACATATTTGGGTTTCGGACAAAGACTCTCTCAAACGAATTTTGTCAACTGTAGACCTGCCAAAAGTAGCCATGTATGCCAAAATCTCCCGAGACAGAAAGAGCCCTGGCCTTTTTGGCGAGATGTGAGTAGAGAAGAAGCCATTTCCTTGAGCTAGCCGAGAAAGATATGGACGAACTCTGGCTAATTACAGATTTCTAGCCGATTTCATCCCCATAAACGTCTCAAGCGGTTCCTGTCGCCAGCCTTCACTGTGGGCTATGTGGACAATCTGGAGCTCGTCTTCCAGGGCGTTATGAGAGACCTTCTCGAACAATACAAAAACCGTCTGGTGAAACATTCGATAGCCGAGCAAGCGATTGAGACTAATCTTATGGACGATCTCCACAGGGCTGCTCTTGACATGTAGGTGTAGTTCGGTCTACGGACCATTTGAATGTTCTTTTGCTAATTCCTTCTGGTGACAGAATGGAGGAAAGCGCCTTCAGCAGAGGATTTGGGCAGGTGAACCCAAAGAGCTCGTCAGGTGACGCATACATGGATGAGATCTGGAAATCTATTCCAAGAGCCATCTTCGATGGCCTCGCAGACAGTTATAAGGTATGAAGAGCAAACTTCGTCAAGTGGCTATAAGCCTTGATAACAGTTTTCAGTATGTTTACGTCAAGAGATTCCTGCGAAGTATGGGCCTGAATGTCAATTTCGACTGGCCCAAGCAGATGACAACGGTGTGACGGCCACAGTAGCGTCTGTTGATCCCATTGCGCTCGCAGCACTGACTCAATAAGGCCATTGATTCGATCATAAAACAACGCACAAGGAGCAAGGAAAGCTCTTCTCCAGACCTTCTCCAGTACATCGTTGAGAATGGCAGGAGGCCGAACACAGAAGAGACTATGAGCTCTCGCGATGTATTGGACCAAATGTCCGAGATCCTCTTAGCTGGCTCCGAAACCAGATCCGGGACTATGGCATGCCTATTCTTGGAACTAGCGCACAATCCCCGTGTGCGTTCCAAGCTCCTAGCATCACTCCCGCCCAAGGATCCCCATGATCTTGTTGATATTGTGGAGAGAAAAACTGTCCGAAGCAGTCCAGAATACCGGTATCTTGAGGCTTGCATCAAGGAAAATCTCCGCTTGCATCCTATTGCTTCCGAGATGGGCCGGCGAACCGGTGATCAATGGATCAATTTCATGGGCTACGATCTGCCTCCGCATACGGTAGTTTCGGCTTCCTACCGAGACCTACATCGAGATCAGAGGTATTGGCCAGAACCATTGAGTTTAATCCCTGAGAGATGGCTGCCGGATGATCAAAGGGGTGATATCCCTGCTGCTGAGTATGTCCAAAATCTCAAGACAAAATTCGTTCAGGCTAACTTTATTGCCAAGTATCACAGCGTACTTCCCATTTGCTGCCGGCAAACACTCTTGTATTGGAATTAAGTACGTCATTCTATGTCTTGAAGGAGTAGTTGATGCTGACTTGAGATTTCCTCGAAGCTTCGCGTGGGCTGAAATGAGAATGGTTGCAGCCAACCTTCTCTCCAGATATGATAGAATCGAGGTCCTTGGGCAGGCAATTAACTTTCGTCAGTTCATTATCATACAGTTTCACACGGGCAAATAGAGAGTCATTTTAAAGTCACGAAAGTAGACAAGAAGGTGTGAACGCATAAGCAAAAAGACTGTATCTACAGAATTTCAACCAAGTCGTCGGCTCGCGGAACCAGGTCATTCTAGTAATCTGGTGTAGTTGATTACTACGACAGGGCCTTAACTAAAATCGATCGTCCGATACTTCAAGGATATCCTAAGAATAGCTAGATTGAATAGATATTCAGACTTCATCCATTACCTAGGATTTATGAAGTGACCTCCGCTCACGTGGCCCTTTTTGCAGCTTCGGCTGTGCCTGGGTGTCAGTGTTTAGTGTAGAGCAGAGTGAAGAGGCTCTCGACAACGTGGTCGCAGCCATAGATAGTAGACATCTAAATCCTGGCCTCAGCAGTCCT